ACTGCGCTGTCAATGAAAAAAGCACATTTTTTTTTTTTTTTTTTTTTTTTTTTTGAGATCTGCGAAGATCCATTACAATCTGTAGGAACTGCGCTGTCAATGAAAAAAGCACATTCTTTTTTTTTTTTTTTTTTTTTTTTGAGATCTGCGAAGATCCATTACAATCTGTAGGAACTGCGCTGTCAATGAAAAAAGCACATTTTTTTTTTTTTTTTTTTTTTGAGATCTGCGAAGATCCATTACAATCTGTAGGAACTGCGCTGTCAATGAAAAAAAGCACATTCTTTTTTTTTTTTTTTTTTTGAGATCTGCGAAGATCCATTACAATCTGTAGGAACTGCGCTGTCAATGAAAAAAGCACATTCTTTTTTTTTTTTTTTTTTTTTTGAGATCTGCGAAGATCCATTACAATCTGTAGGAACTGCGCTGTCAATGAAAAAGCACATTCTTTTTTTTTTTTTTTTTTTTTTTTTGAGATCTGCGAAGATCCATTACAATCTGTAGGAACTGCGCTGTCAATGAAAAAAGCACATTCTTTTTTTTTTTTTTTTTTTTGAGATCTGCGAAGATCCATTACAATCTGTAGGAACTGCGCTGTCAATGAAAAAGCATTCTTTTTTTTTTTTTTTTTTTGAGATCTGCGAAGATCCATTACAATCTGTAGGAACTGCGCTGTCAATGAAAAAAGCACATTTTTTTTTTTTTTTTTTTTTTTTGAGATCTGCGAAGATCCATTACAATCTGTAGGAACTGCGCTGTCAATGAAAAAGCACATTTTTTTTTTTTTTTTTTTTTTGAGATCTGCGAAGATCCATTACAATCTGTAGGAACTGCGCTGTCAATGAAAAAAGCACATTTTTTTTTTTTTTTTTTGAGATCTGCGAAGATCCATTACAATCTGTAGGAACTGCGCTGTCAATGAAAAAAAAAACATTCTTTTTTTTTTTTTTTTTTTTTGAGATCTGCGAAGATCCATTACAATCTGTAGGAACTGCGCTGTCAATGAAAAAGCACATTCTTTTTTTTTTTTTTTTTTTTGAGATCTGCGAAGATCCATTACAATCTGTAGGAACTGCGCTGTCAATGAAAAAGCACATTCTATTTTTGTGGTCTTTGATTACTATGTCTGGACGATTCGCTGTTCTGCCTGTATATATTGTAAAATCCCATAAAATAGTTGCATGTGCTATGTCTATTATGATTTGTGTCCCCCCCCCAAAAAAAGATATTATTATTATTATTATTATTATTATTATTATTATTATTATTATTATTATCATTTTCTTTGATTTCTGGCGTTTACACATTTCTTTCCGGGTCCCGCCTTAGGGACCTAAGGTTAGAAATGGCGTCATGACACTTTCCACTGACAAAAAAAAAAAAAAAAAAAAAATTTAAATTACATAGATAAAGCCCTTCTATTATTATTATTATTATTATTATTATTATTATTATTATTATTATTATTATTATCATCATACTCCTTGTTATTAATAAAAATACAATTTTTTAATTACTATTATTATTTTGTAAATATCATTATTTAGTTATCCCTTGTTAGCATTTTGTTGTTCATGCTTTCTTTATAACCATTATTTTCCTGGTACAGGATATTATTATTATTATTATTGTTGTTGTTGTTGTTGTTGTTGTTGCTGTCGAGGTGTTATTAATATTATTATTATTATTATTGATGTATTATTAATATTGTTATTATTTTGCTACTCATTTTTATTTTTCTCGTTTTTGTACTTTCTTTTCTTCCTCTTCTTCTTCTCATTATTATTATTATTATTATCATCATTATTGTTTTGTTGTTGTTGTTGCTGTTGTTGTTGTCGAGGTGTTATTAATATTAATATTATTATTATTATTATCATTGATGTGTTATTAATATTATCATTATTTTGCTACTCATTTTTATTTTTCGCGTTGTTCTTGTACTTCTTCCTCTTCTTCTTCTTCTTCTTCTTCTTCTTCTTCTTCTTCTTAGTATTATTATTATTATTATTTCCTTGAATTTTTGTTGTATTTACATTTCCTTCCACGTACCAAATAGATACCTAAGGTCAGAAATGACTTCATGTTATTTTCCACTGATTCATTTTTGTCAAAACTCCGCAAAACTCACACAAAAAAAAAATCAAAGCAATTATATGCATCTTGTTTTTATGAAAATTATTCCTATTCTTCCACTGGGATCTAAAAAAACGCGGACTGTACCCCGAGGAGAGGGGAAGATTGTCTCTCTCAGAAAAGGTGGCCATCTAGTAAGTATATGCTGAAATATATTTAATCATTTGATCAGAATTAAATCCAGTGCAGATCTGTGCATCACCTCCTCGTATAGAATGTACATCGTATTCTTTTCATAGAGATTTGTTGTGTTTTTCTTTTGTAATTAAATCTACAATGTCAAGAGACAATGATTTATTAATCCGACAAGAAAGCGGAAATGCACTGTTTGTTAAAAGAAGATATTTAAACGTTTTGTGATACCCTGTCATAGGCGGTTATTGCAGGAACATTCAATTATATATTTTATTAAAAGCAAATGCCAATAAAGTTTTTCAGTATTTTAAGTTATTCGAAGAGTTAATTTTAATATATTACGTGTGAATAAACGAACATTTAAGGTTGTTGAAAGTGTTCAGCGCTGTTGTGGTTAACAATGCAGAGATTCTCCAAACATTCGCTGACGTAATTTCACATATATTTAGACTTTGAAAAATATGGATTAAAAAGGTCTGGTCATCCTAGTTGATCCGCTTCAGGCCTCCATGTCAGTTGTCTTTGAAACGTTCCTCGCTGGAATAATAATTGCTCGAGGACAGGAATAATATTTATAAAAACAAGATTCATTCGGTGACTCTCGCGTTCTTGTTTCGCGTTTGTCTATTTATTCTGGTTTCTCTTTTGCTGACATTATCGAGAAGGAAATAAGTGGTAACTACGGTGATATTCCCTAATAACGTCATGAGGGAAAGTGGATACGAGTGTGAGCGAGATGGAGGAAGAGATGAAAGAGAGAGACGAAGAGAGAGAGAGAAAAGAAAAGAGGGTGCAAGAAAAGAAGAAAGATAAAAGAAGAGAGAGAGAGAGAGAGAGAGGAATGGACGTGGAACATGATTGACCAATGAAAATCCAACAACACAAAAGTGAAAATACCAGAATTTCTTTCTTCTTTTTCTCCATATCTCGTTCTCTGTTGAAGCTTTAATAAAAACAGGACATGTTAGATTGATCAACGTTTCTTATTTGTTTTTTATGTTATCATTCTGTTGTATTCGGATCCATATTGAATCCAAACTCATACGTGTATGTTATACAAATCCGTGTTTGTATATATGCGTGTGATTGATGGTTAACTTGCGAATCTGTATTATTAAACCAAAACTGATATTATTTCCTATCCGGAAGCTCTCGTACCGAATCGTAGATCAACTTCCTCCACTGATTTGAACGCTTCTATCAACGCAGATATCAACTCAATATGTAGTACAGTGACATCATTATTAAAACTGGTCAAGATTACGAAAAATTACAAAGATGGCGGTTATGATCCATCGCCTAAATAATCATTTTTTTTATTTTGCCTAGAAGAGTTTGTCTGAAAAAGTGGAGATAAATCTTTCGTTAGTAATTCTAATTTTTTTTTACAAATTATTTAAACTAATTAAAATAAAAACAATAAATTTATTGAAACAAAGCAAGTTCAGTTGACCATTGATGACAATTCCAGAAACTATAAACAATTTCTTTTGCTATCCTCTTCCAGCTGCAATGATGGAGAACCATGGCCAGTGAGACACGCTGCAAGAGCCACTCCGTTTCACGAGGCTCGTCCCTTAATCGAAACGCAATCGCGCCAATCCTCCGAAGGAACGCCATCGAACGAGGGCCAATAACCCCTGAAGTCTCCACTGCCACAGGAGTAAAAAAAAAATCTATCAGCAAGAGAAGAATATTTAACTATTTTTTTCATCTCTGCGCCCCGGGCGACGGATCCTGGCTCAACCGCGGACCTGATCAAATTAACGACCGAAAATGTATCCGCACTGCTCGCATCCCAAATCAACGACTTCCCCATTTTAAAAGGGAAAATGGTAATGCCATCCGACCGCTTTCCATCACCATGGTCGAGTGCTACGGGTTCGATTTGGGAAGGGAACTTAGCTGCATCCAAACCTCTTTTGATGATGTCGTTTATTGCTGCTTGCCGTGGAAAGCGGCCGGCAATACGACGACCGGAGAGAGGATGCAAACCAAACCCATCGATGGAAGTTCCACATCTGCATCTTTGATGCTCAAGTTAATGGATTTACAAGCATAAACTTTTACAACCGGTCCGAAAATTAAGCTGCATGGAATAAATTTAATTTTGTGAGCGGGTTTCTCCTATCTCCGTTATGAAAATAAAATCTCAAATTTTAAAGCAAAGGACATTACATAATTTACGTCATTTGTTGCTAATCATCTTAATTTACGACCTGAGCTCAGAAACCAAATTATTCTGTTTTTTTGGGAGGTGGGGAGTTGTCTCTTTTTTTATTTTTGCATATTGCATTTTATCAGCTCAACGGTATCTAGAGATAGTGTCATGGTTGGAAACAGAAATAAGAGTATGTAACGATTTTGTATTAACGACCTTAAAATTCCATGAGTCCTCTTCAACCTGAGCATTGTGCATTGGCCACAAACTTTATGTCATTATCATATGATATGTTTTTACAGCTTATGAAATATTTTTGTAATTTACTTAAATTCGGCACATTTTAGTTTATAAAAATCATTCATTTGAAAATTGTATTAAAGATTTTGGAGGATAATAATGATTGTCCTACTATTTAATCCATAGGTGGTGAGACAAGAGGCACATTCATACCTTCCCCAAGAATACTTACGCGTAAGGGTATGTGACGAACCTGGCTGGAATTTAAACTAGACTCTCCAATTTCAGCGTCCGTACCGCTTTCCATTGTACTACCCACACATTCAAGCTTACTGCACCTGGTATTCTAGAGCAGTCACCCATCTAAGTACTGACCTGACTCGACGTGGCTTAACTTCCGTGATCGGATGAGTACCGGTGTTTCAACGTGATATAACAGCCAGCCTATGGCATTATGGTTAATATTAAAAATGATTACTCAGCAATTAACAGTATGACATGTGAATGCTTGACTTAATATTTGCAACAATAGTCTATTACTTTGTGGAACAGATCCTTGAGAGGGTGTATCCCGATCATTAGGATCTTAACATCCTCAAGTCTAGGCTCAAGTTTTGTCTATCCTATATATCCTCATAATATGCACTTGTTAGTTCCTCCCGTTAAGTCCTTATAGTGATAACCTTATTCATTAACCCTGTATTCTGAGTAGGTTTTCGTGTTGTATTTGACAAACGATTGTTTAAAACCCATATATTTTTCTAATTCCACGTGTCATGCCTCTTCTGGATATCTCAGTTTCAGTTATTTCTCTTTAGTAACTCAAGACTCCAAGTTTTTTTGTTTTTTGGGGGTTTTTTTTCCACTCTTTACTTGCTTGGTTGATTGATTTTGTTTATCGACATAGGATAAGAAGCTGCCAACACCGAGGTTCGAGCGTTACACTCTGGACGTATATGTTCTCCGCCAGGTGTATGAATAGCAGAGACAGGCTACTGACGGCAGTGGACTATCAGTTGACTATTGGTGGACTACGGGTTGAGTATTGGTCTGACTGCAGTCGATGATTAGTTGAGTACGAGTGTTGATTACGAGTTTGTATTTACTCAACCCACCACGAGTTCAGGTTGTGATACAAGGTGTGGAGAGCCCGAGCGCGTACACCCGGGCTAGGAACAAAAATTGCCCGCGGCCCACATAACTGTCGGTTGCGTTGGCCTCGGTGCAACCACCGATCACTCTATCTGATGCAATGAGAGCGCGTGGCCACGGGCAGCTGTTGCCCAGGTCTAGGCACCTCTCAGTATCATTTTTCTCAGTTGCGACTCTGTTCTTCGACGGAGCCGCCCCTGAGCGTACACAGCCCAAAGACAGAGACAACTGAGAGATGTTAAATAGGGTATTACAAATTCGAGAGAGCAATTTACATATTTGTGTTGATTACGAGTGGATTACAAGTTGATTACCGGTTGATTGTTGATTGATTATTGAGTGACTATCGGACGTTAAGCAGAGCTGCGATACTAAAAAGGTATTCATTGAACTTGTTCATCAGTTTGAGTGAATCTTACTTCTTTTGTTTCTGTTATGTATTTATTAGGTTGGTGCAAAAATAATGTCGTTTTTTGACGTTCAACTTAACGTCAAAAACATTATTTTTGCGACAACCTAATATTTGCAATTTGTGATGAAATACTGTTTATTTAACATTGATGTCCTGAGTTGTACGTTATCATTTACGGGTCACAATAAACATATCAACCTCTATGGATTATTTAATGCCGAGATGTAAATATTTTGAACTATTTTATGGTTTCAACTAGATATATATTGAACAAAATTGTATGCTTTCAACTACAGAATATGCGTTGTTGCTAATTTTTATATAAACATGTACTGCTGGTATTTCTACTATAAAAATGTACTTTATACTTTCATAGCGTTTCGTTTTTGTTGGAGGGGTTAATATTTGTCCATAGCTTCGGATCCCAACAAGTACTACCACCACGTGCCAGGGTGGACCTTGGAACAGCATCACTTAAGAGGTGGTATCACGCTGCCGAAAACCTCCAATCTCCCGATCAGAGGACTTTCTGTCGGATGTAAACAATTTGAGGGAATCAAGTCAGTTTTTGGATCATTAAACCAATGATTTAATCTACTGGGCTATGCGCTCTGAAATACAGGGTGTCCATAAAGTTCGTGTGCACTTTAAAAAGTTTATAACTTTATTTGTATTTGCGATAGAAATAATCTGTAAAAGATGTAATAAAATTCAATGTACCTAGTGTTAAGTATAGCTAAAATAACTAATATGATTTCACGAATTACTGCAAATCAGTTGGCAAATGTTTTGCGTGAACTGCAAAATCGTATTAACCTTTGTGTTGCTAATGATGGAGGACATGTGGAAACTTAAATAAAATTTCAATAAAACCTTACAATATATAGATTTACTTCTTTCTAATCCGTTTTACAAATTATTTCTATCGCAAATACAAATAAAGTTATATTTTTAAAGTGCACACGAACTTTATGGACACTCTGTACAAAAAAAAAAAAAATAGGCATAGCACGTGGAATTAGAACAATATGCCCCAGTGGACTAAATAAAAGGTTCCTTTCAAAATCCTAATGTGTATTACCTGAAGAAGGCCGGGGCGTACAACGGCCGAAACTTCGTGAATATCGCAGTAAAGATGAGGACAACTGTGCCGAAGATGTAAATAGGGTAAATAAATGGTTTCATGATTTGGAATTCTGTATCTAATCAGGATAATATGTGCGGATATTATTGATAACATAATTCAATTTATTAAGCAAATTATTGATCCCTCGGACGTAAAATTCTTTCATTTTTCCATGCAAAGTAACTGTTTTTCTTTTAAAGATATAGCAATGATCTGTGAAATTGGAGTAATGTCTGGAGCATAAGGAGAATGATGCAAACTGCCCATATTAAGTGCTATAATATTGTTTCACGTGCATTCGACTCTTTAAACAAACATTACTATACTTTGTTACGTTAGGAATACTAACATTGGTTTAATTAGTCGGAATTAGGAATACTAACATTGGTTTAATTAGTGAAATATGATTGACCAATGAAAATCAAACAAAACAGAAGGAAAAATACCAGAATGCCTTTCTCTCCTTTTTCTCCATATCTCGTTCTCTGATGAAGCTTTAAGGTGAAACATGTTAGATTGATAAATGATTCCTATTTGTTCTTTATCTTATCCTGTCGGATTCCGATCCATATTTGATCTACATTTTATCCCAACACATACGTTCATGTCATATAAATATCTGTTTCTGTGCGTGCGTTTGTGTATGTGATTGTGTTTGCGTGTCTGTTTCATGGTTAATTTAGGAATCTATGTCTAATTGTTGGTTCTCCATACGTTTATTTGAGATCGATCCGTAAATTAAATGCATTGTCAATCGTTATCATCTGGCATCTTAATACCTTTATTGTTGTCCCTCCTTAATAATGGTTTCTTTTTTCTCATATTGTTTCACACTCAGGAAGCCCTTGCATCTTAGTGGCTTTATTGCCTTGCTCGTTGTGAAACGATTAAAAAATAAATGTTACTTCTGGTCGATATTAGAGTCAATATTTCGAAAACTGTTTTTCAAGACACAAACACCAAGCGTGCTTAGAAGTTTATTTCAAACCTGTTTTTTATTTACCTTGTGTCGTACTAATATGTTTAGTGAATTTGTATAGAGAGTTCTAAGACATGCGTGTCTGTCTGTGTTTGTATTTTTTTTATGTTTATTGCATGAATTCCTACGTCTTTCGCCTTTTCAAATCTCTTTGCGTGATTTATACGTGTTTTGTAGACTCTTATGGGTAAAACGGACACGTCTTACATCTGCGCACGTTTCGACCAATGAATGACCGCTTTGTATGCAACATGGTTCACTCTGACACGAACATGTCTGTTGCCGCCGGGGTATTAAGGAATTTGGGCTAATCCTTCACGGGAGAAAAAATATAAAGACGGCTGGGAAATTCTCTGCTCCATTAAATAGAAAATAGAGGAGACGACAGCCTCCAGTTAGTATCCCCACCACAGGAACTCTGGGAACGTGCCCGGTTAACCGTAATTCATCTTTCTTAACCAAGGAATGAATATTCGATTCTTCATTTATAGAATCACAGAATTTAGCAATGAATAATGTCAGAATATATTAAGTATAACTGGTATCAAAATGGTCCTTTTTATCGTTTGTTGTTTTGCTTTTCGTTTCATTTTCTTCATAGCAACATTTTTTTTTATTATTGCTTTCTGTCAATCTGCATTTTTTTGTTTTTTTTTATAAAGTCCTTTTTGTTTTATTTACATCTTTGTTCTTTCTTTCATTTTCCTTCTTTGACTCATCTCTTTCTATCACCTTTTAAGTTTCATTTATTTATTTAATCAGTTTTTTTTTCTTTATTTATTTTGCACCCACCATGAATGATTTAATTTTCTTTTTTATATTTTTTCTTTCTTTATTTCATCCTTTCTTTCTTTTTCGGTCTTTCTTTCTTTTTTTATTTTCATTTTTTTTCACACGCCAATAATGTTTTTTTTTTTTTATCATATGTTTTCTTTCTTCCTTTTTTTCTTTCTTTTGCTTAATCATTTTTTTCTTTTCGTACACGCCAATAATAAGTTATTTTTTTCTTCTTTCTCTACATTTTCTTTTTTCTTCCTCTCGTTTTTACTCATTCGTTTTTCCATTCTTTTTTCCATTCTTTTTTATGCATTTTTCCTTTTATGTACCGGCCAATCGTCCTTTATTGTTATTCTTTTGTGCGCATTTTCTTTCTTTCTCTTTTCTATTTTCTTTCTTTCTTTTTTCCATTTTCTTTCATTTATTTTTCTTTATTCATTTTTCTTCCCCCCGCCCACCAATAACGATTTTTTTCTTTTTATTCATTTTCTTTATATCTTTTTTTTTCTTTTTTACTTTTTAATTTTCTTCTTTTTGTACACATTAATAAAGATTTATTTTTATTTATTTATTTTTTTTTCAGAATTTCCCGTTTCTGTTTGCCTAAATATTTTTACTCTTAAAATTTCTTTCTTTCTTTCTTTCTTTCTTTCTTTCTTTTCACGATTCTAATTTCTGGCTAAACTTTCTACTGTTAAAACGTCTTTCTTCTTTTTCCTTTCTTCTCTTTTTTCTTTTTTACTTCTTAATTTTCTTCTTTTTGTACACATTAATAAAGATTTATTTTCATTTATTTATTTTCCTTTCAGAATTTCCCGTTTCTGTTTACCTAAACATTTTTACTCTTAAAATTTCTTTCTTCCTCTCTCTCTTTCTTTCTTTCTCTCTTTCTTTCTTTCTTTCTTGCACGATTCTCGTTTCTGGCTAAACATTCTACTCTTAAAACTTATTTAATTTTTTTTTCCTTTCTTCTTTTGTTTTCTTTTTTACTTCT